GCTAGTTCTCCAGAAGAAAAACAATAATAACTCGAAATTTTGTTAACTATTGCTGAAGACAAAAGAGACATTATATTATAAATTTATTTCGCCACGGACGGGAGAAGACACAAAAGGAGGGGGCAGAAACTGTCGGGTCGTCGTCGTTCCTCTGCAACCCTCTCCCTCCATCCCGATAAAGTTAGCATGTCTTTTTACTAGGTATATCCCGAATGTGTGCCTTCGGCAACCTGGGGGGTCTCGCAACGCGATTACGGCCAGATGGGGGAACCCTGGGGGGGGGGGTGTCTCGCCTCGTTCCGTTTGCTTGAATTTTATCTTCGTCGTAAAATGCCGCGCGATACCCCGGCGGAACTTCCCCAAAGGGCTGTACAGCAAAGTCATTTAAATTTCCCACAAAAGGTACAAACAAGCAACGACACCCTCGAAGAATTTATGGTAACCTTTACGGCAAATTTATTGAAAAATTATGGAAATTTAAAAGCGAGTTACTTAAATAGTTTGAAAATATCGAAAAATCTGGCGCTTGTGGGACTCCGTCGCCCTGAGACTAAACCGGGGCTCATGTGGGGTCGTGGTTGCATTCGTTTGACAGCTCATTCGCATATAGCTATGAGAGGATTACTTTTTTTTCATTATGTCTATATTATTAAAAACCTTCTTTTTTTTTTACAATACATCATGATAAACAGCGTTTACAATGTTTAACGAATTATTGTACTATTAAACATAAAATCGAACATTGTTTTAATTTATACTCCAAACATGTACTGACGAGAACGTCGTCTTAGGTATGCTAGATTAGAGAGAGTTTGTTGTAAGATTGTTTGCCTTCCTCCTCTTATTTCACTTCAACTTTTATATATTTCAGTCACTAGGCAAGTTCACTGTACTCTGGTGACATTTAGCTCAAGCTGGCATAACACCTGTAGTAACTTAATTCTGACCCGAGTTTTGTGCACAATCTTCCAGCACCCATGATCAATGTTTATAGCAATCAGGAAACATTCACAGCTCACAACTACACATCGCTTCCCCATCATGAATTGTTAGATAAAAAAAGTTTAGCGAGGTCCGGTTACACATATGTTGAGCGAAAATAGCGGAAGGATAAAAAACAAACAATCCAGACGAGGCTGGTGTTTGCCACGTGTGACGTCACACAGCTGGGTTAATGGCTGGCAAGCTTTTCGCTACCGGAGCGGAATAACACGGCAAAGTGGCACACATTTCATGTTATTTGGGGGGTATTTATGGAAAGAATCATTGATGTTGATATGTCAAATGAAACAGTGGAAAGTGATGAAGCGATTTATTAACACAGAATAACGTTTATTTTGGACATTTCATGGACTTTAACCGTACCTCTATGTGCGTGCCACAAGTACCGCCATGATTTTTTTTAAGCACATTTTTTTTGGGGGATAGCTGGAAACATGGTCACTTAAAGTGGAAATAGTTCTTTATTTAGAAGAAAATGTAAAAAGAACATTGTGGCTGAGTATATGTAGGACTTTGTTTGGTTTCCTTATATCATTGTTCTACACAAAAGGGTCTGTTCTGCAGCACCTCTTTTCACCCTCTGTCTGAAACCAGAGCCCAGACTGCAGAAGTAAACAAAGGAGTCCAATGGAGGCGTTTTTATACAGGGGGGAGTGTTTGTGAAAGAAAATCCCTCTGGAGGGAACACAGGGAGCCTTTGCAGACCATTTACATGCACAACAACCTATAGAATGCACATCAGGGAAGGTTAACCCCCAAAAAGCACAATGCAATGTTTGGAAAGTCAATCCTGATTGGACCTTATAGTTATGCAACGTTTTTGTTTTCAGAGAAGTTAGTTGTGTGAATGACCAACAGTTGATGGAAAGCTGTTGTTGAACTGTTTACAGGTATTTCAGTATCACATATATTTTTATTTATTCAAATATCTGTTTCCTAAGCCGTTGAGATTCGTCAGCCGCTCTCTCTATACTCAGTCTTTTTTCTTTATCAGTTTATATCTGGCGTCGACACTTAGCAGCCTCCTGGGTCTTGATGGAGTTGCCTAAAGTGATTCCCTACCCATTTGTTGCAGAGTGGATATTTGGATCACGGCCCGTCTCTCAGAAACCATCTCCACCGTCCTCCTGAGAAGACGAAACCAGCTCACTCTATTAATCATGCAGGAGACTATACCCGTACAGTGTAAAGATTCAATTGCAAAGTAAATGGATTAGAGGAAAGTGAATTGCCTTATTGAGGTATAGAGTATAGGCAGGAAACATAGGGAACGAGAAGCTGGACTGCTGACGGTAAATAGAATCGTTTGGGGAGCGAGGGAGCGACCTAAGGAAAATAGTAATAGCAATTAAAGAAATCAGCATTTGTTAGAATTCTTTGTGAAATGACTGTCATGTTTTCTTTGAATTCAGTACCCAGGATAACTCCGTTTAAGCCTTGCTTTGTATTTGGCATACAATATATTTTGGAGCCTGTGTACAGTTTGTCTGAAAACTTGGAGATGCTGATGTCATTTTATGGAATTAAAAAGATATATAATAAGGACAATAATCTCTCTTAAGTAATCACTCAACTGCTGCGTTTGTTGACATGAAAACTGAACACTTGGTCTCTATTCATCTTAATTTGCCCTCATAAATGCATAGATTAATGCATAAACATTCAATTAAATAAATGGAAATTCAATGTTTTTAAATATATTATATCATCAAATTACAATACGGGTAGTAATACATTATGACCGGCAAAGAGAATCAAATGAAACCACTGGCTGTTGGATATGAAAATGTCCTCAATGAGTAGGGAATAGTATAGCCGAGAGAGAGGCTTTGTACAAAGTATTTTTAGAAATGTGTGCTCATCCATACTTTGTTTGATTAAGAGCTATATAACATTTCATATTTTTTTATAAAAAAATTGTTTTTGTCATGCTTTGGTTTCAAAAATGAAATGGCAAAAACATCTCCCTCAACAAAATGGTGACTCTAACCTTGGGCATTGGTACTTGCTGAGAAATGTGTCATCTGCGCAGCCCAAATGTTAAAATATAAAAAAACTGTGGGTTAAGATGAAACCAAGACTAAATGCTATCATCCCCTCACACCTGTGTTGTGCAGTCTTGTATAAAGTGATGGGTGCTGCTAAAACATGTCATTATGTGTACAAATGATGTTGTTCTGAGTGTACCAGGTTCAGCAACTTTTATCTCCCCACAGTCTATTCTGAAAAAAATCCCAAACTATTTCCTAAGTTTTGTTGCAACCACCATCACACCCATAATGCAATATGGTATTTTAGAATGCGAGGAAATCCGTTTTATTGGCCCAAGTATGTGAACACAAACAAGTTATTCAATGTATTTTTATGATCTCGATTTACTTCCAAATAAATATACATAACATGCTTTGTATACAAGTATGAAATATGTATAGTTAAGAAGAACAATAAATAGAAAAGTTGTTTTACTGTTGAACTGATTTAAATTCATCAGTGACTGCCTGTGGAAAGAAAGTGTTTTCTCATCTGTGAGTTTTGACATACAGTAAACTATACATATATTACATTACATGTTACTTGTAACAAAGCGACTTACATACTCAATACTGTGGGCAATCCCCACAGGAGCAATTTGGGTTGAAGTGTCTCACCCAGGGACACAACGACATGCAGTGGGGTTTGAACCTGTGACCCCCTGATCCGAACACAAACGCTCTATCCACTGCGCCACACGCATATATATATCCATATATAAACCTATGGAACTGTTCCAAAGGTTTCTACCTGATCATAGATTGACATCAAAGTCCTCCTGCTGGACATTAGTGGTTGTAGAAGACAAAAGACGTAGCCCAGCTATTCCCCTCGCTTGTTGAATATTTAATTTCAGACAATTAATAATTTACCTCGGGATAACATGGTGGATTTCTCCCTCTCAAAAATGCTTCCTGGCTGATGGAGGGAAAGGGCGGGTGGAGGATTATTCCAAGAAACCTGCATTTTTATAAAAACTAGGAATTTGTATTCTTATAGCAAACAGATTTGAAATGCTCATGCATTGCCTGGTGAAGTTCTCTTCCGTTACTTTGACTTTGTTTTGAAATGTCATGACCTTGCAGGGCTTAGATATTTCACCTTTGACACAGTGATGGAGATTCCACTTAATAACTGAGCTAAAGGAAAGAATTCAGTCCATATGTTGATGACTATAGGAAATGTGATGCATGTTGGCAGCAGATTGAACTAATGGAGTGAAGGGGGATTTATTCAGCAAGGGGATCTGCTGAGGGAGGGAAACCAGGAAACCATCTTTTATATTGTCTCAGGATTAGATTACAGCCAATGAACAAAACTGAGGGATAGACTTGTCTGTTTAAACCGGCCATTTGGGGAAAAGTAGGAAAACAGTGCAAATATAAATGATAAAGTAACAATAAGGTACAGATCCAAAATAAACACAATGCCAAACAAATCCAAATGGGATAATGATAATGATAATGATAAACCTTGGCTGGTTTAATGGGGATTAGCTAAATGAGATGTATGTACTTTGGTTTTGACATTGCACTAGACCAGGGGTGTCAAACTAGACTTCTGCTTTTAGACGTAGTTAATTATGAAGTTATTACCCTATCCGATAATAATCCAATGCAGAGGCAATAATGTAATATAATACATTGTTTTATATATATTATATATTTATATATGTATTTTTATAGTCTTAAAGTTACAACCGGCCCTTTGAATGCAACCCTAATACTAATGTGGCCCGCGATGAAATTGAGTTTGACACCCCTGCACTAGACCATAATATAATATTGACCACATTTCTAAATTATACATTTTTACTAGGAATTCAGAAACTATTGCGAGACATTAAATATTTTTGAAAGAATGAAACTACTTGCCAAATCAACCCTCTTAAGGTTTAAACCGTGGATGTTTGGCAACAGGATATGTTTTTTTTCCGATACAAGCTGAACATCTTTCTGTTTTTCCAGGGTGGAGAGGTCCACAGATCAGGTCATCAAGCCCGTCAACATGGAGGCCTTGTCCAAGTGGGTGGGGAAGATCCCAGCTGACGTGGTGAGGGACATGGCTGTCATTGCTCCCATGCTGTCCAGACTGGGCTACGACCCCCACGCCAACCCTCCCAACTACGGCCGGCCGGACCCCAAGGTCCTAGACAACACCAGAAGGGTGAGTCTGAGCCAGAGTGACCAGTGTTACAACCATGTTCAGAACTGTATTCTCAGTCAGTCTAAATTAACACTTTTTGAGTTATTAACACAATTATCAATAAGGGGCTCGCAGTTTTGAAATAAAATCATTTTAGTATATTTGCTTTCAAACTAAGACTTTGGATGAAAAGATCAATACCACTCATGTTTGAATGGTAATTATGAAGCTACAGCTAGCAGTTGGTTCAAAGACCCTTCTTGAAGTATAACACCACAACTTGTCTGACTTTTCTTATAGATTAAACTAACACTACAGTATAAGATTCATTAATAAGTGAACTTCAGATGTGCTAATAAGCAATCATTTGTTCCTTTCCTTGGGGCCCAGGTAACATGTCCTACTGTTTTTTAGTTTCTAAGCTAAGCCTATACAACATGCTGCTGGTCGTTACAGGGCTTCTCAAACTCCGGACCAAGGTCCGGATACGGACCGAACTGCAAATCAATCCGGACCGAACCCTGTGTCCCATTAGTACGGAGCCCCTAAAAGGACATGGAAGAAAAAAAAAGGGAGAGAGAAAAAAAATAAAGTCAGGAAAACAGATTCGTTTCTCGTGCGCATGAGAAACGAATCCGTTTTCCTGACTTTATTTTTTTTGAGAAAGTTACCGATGCACCAAGGAGAAAGTGGAACACACATTAGACAACCATTTCATTGCAGACTGTTATGTTTACGTGGGGAAATGACAGAGCATACATTATTTGAGATAGACTATATTTTGAAGTCAGACTTAATTTTATGGACATTTCGGCCAAGAGGTGTAGAGCTATTGGTTTAAGCACCGGATTGGCAAAACAGGAGAGTCTGTAAACCAGTCTGCTTTGATCTATGAATTAATGTCCGTGACTCGCAGAGTACCTGCTTCCCCCGCAGCTTTTTTATAGGGAAACAAACACTCCGAACACACACACAGAGCCAGTGGCGGACTGCCCCCCCCCCCCCCC